AAAAAAAGGAAATTACTCGTTTTTCTTATCGGTTGGCAAAAAAACGAACAATCAGACTATTGTTTTCCAGACCTAACGATGCAAACATATATTTTTAACTGATATGCATATACTGATTTTGGAAGTAAGTATTGATTCGTCTAATAGGTAGACTCTCTCACACAAAAATTTATGGAAAAAGAGAGGAAAAAATTGTTCAAGTTTTATTTTTTTAATCAGGTTTAATGGGCTGGATTTTCTGAGGAGATGGATGGGGAAGAAAATAATGTTTGTGGGTGACTCACTGAGTCTGAATCAGTGGGAGAGTCTAGCCTGTATGATTCATGCTGTTGTCCCTGATTCTAAATACAATTATGTCAGGCATGATTCAATTTCTCAAGTCACATTCCAGGTCAGCCAAGTCTTTTCATTTTTATAAATATTTATTTTTATTTATAATCAGAAAAATTTGATACCACCACAAGATCACACATTCTCATACAAACCCACACGGGTGTGTACATTTTTTACATGATGGAATGTTTCATATAATTGCATATATTCTTACTACTTATGTTTTTTTTTTCAATGTTTGAAACAATACATAATGAAGAAACATTTAAATCATCATTGTGAATTCACCGAAATTCACAATCAATTTCTGCCATTTCAACCAAGAAACTTTTGCAAACACCGCTTGTTGGGGTTAAAGAAAGTTTCATAAGCCAATTTACTCAAATAAGATGAGAATAAATGGGTTATTTTTTGTCCATCAATCATTGAAATAAATGAGATTTGACAAAAGAGTAAAGGTCCAAGCTTTAGTTCCCTGCCCTTTTGTTTTCTTTTCATTTGGCATTTTCTGACAACAGAATTTACACTTTTTTTTTTCCTACACATTGCTTTTAACATTAACCCAACTCAACAGAAAACCTGAAAAGAGCCTGAAAAGAGCCTAATTAAATAGACCATGTTTGCCCAAGAAATTAAATATGGAATATGCAGGGACTGGCAAATGGGCCAGACCTCACCTAACCCTCCATTGGACAGTAATAGATGGCTTCTCTCTAGTGGGCCAGCCCAAATAAAACAGTATCTACTACGAAACCAATCCATTAAGTTGAATGCTACCCGAACATGATTTTAACATAACTATCCATAATTACGAGTATTAACATTCTATCCTGCCGTAATTTTGCTATTGTATAAATATGAAACTAACTCAAAATACTACCCAAACTCACCTAAAACACGTTTCATTTATATACAAGTACAACTAACAAATATTTAAATAAGTGAATCATTACCAAAAAAAAAAAATGTTTATTTTGTCAAAAATTTCATGAGAATATTGCATAAACTAAACTAAACAACAATGTATACATATACATCTAACATCTCCTAAATTTTACCACAGGACTATGGAGTTACCATATATTATTACCGCTCACCATACTTGGTAGACATAACGAGCGAGGACATTGGGCCAGTGTTGAATTTGGGCTCGATCGTCCAAGGCCGTAACTGGCTAGGAATGGACATGCTCGTGTTCAACACGTGGCATTGGTGGACTCACAAGGGAAAAGCCCAATCGTACGACTTTGTATTCTTTCTCAATCCCAGCTACCAAACACATCTGATCTGATAGTTTTATCCACATAATATTTGCAGATGGCAATATATAAGGGATGGGACAACCTTGTCCCTAGACATGGACCGCCACATGGCATTCTACAAGGGCTTGACCACATGGGCTAGATGGGTTGACTCTAATGTTGACCCAACCAAAACCAAAGTCTTCTTTCAAGGGATTTCTCCTACTCACTACCAGTAAGCAAATCCTCTCAAATTCTTGATTAATTTTTCAAGATTAGACGAGTAAGATTAATATCTATTGTGATTTGATGACAGGGCTAGAGACTGGAAATCGGTATCGAGGGACTGCTCGGGTGAACAAACCCCTTTGTCCGGGTCGACATATCCAGCAGGGACACCGGAAGAAGTTGAGATTGTTAACAAAGTACTAAGCATGACAAAAACACCCGTGACTTTGCTCGATATTACTACTTTATCCCAGCTGAGAAAAGACGCTCACCCGTCAGTTTATGGCGGGAACCCCTCAGGGGTTGATTGCAGCCATTGGTGCCTACCTGGGCTGCCCGATACATGGAACCAGCTCATGTATGCATCTATCTTATAGTCCGACTGTAGTAATTTGAAAGTTTTTTTACACACTTGTTGTCAATAAATTTTATTTGTTTAATTTCTTCTCCTCTACAGAGTGATTTTAGATGATTATTTTCGAGTGATGATATTTGATCAATGTAAAAGCCATTCAAGTTTAGTTTAATGGTATGATCCAAAAGCGTGAAAGGGGATTAGGGCATGATTGGATATAGTTTATTTTGAATTTGATTTGATTTATTGAATAAAGCGAGTTATTAAAAAAATAAGTTGATTGAGTTTGGTTTGAGTGCAATTTTGAGTTTGTATTTAAATAATATTTAAAATATAATGATTAAAGTTGATGTGACGTAAATACAGGAGAGAGGTGATAGGGAGGAGAGAGGTGATAGGGAGTGATGGTAATTAAAAGAACACCGTTCTGAAGAATGAATCAGTTTTTCACACAGCTGGATTATAAGTTCTTTTTTCACCCTAGAAAGTGCGGAAGACATGTGATAATTATGCGACACTTGTGCGAAAGTTAAAAATGCGAAGGCATTGGCATAACCTTCACACCTTCTAATGTGAATATGCGTCAGTCGCATCACTGCTATGCGACAGTTATGCGAACCATTCACATAACCATCGCATTTTCCGGGGTGAAAAAGCTAAATTGTTAGCGGGCGGGGTGAAAAACTTAATATATCTTCATAGGGTGTAAATTGTCCCTAGTTAAAACTACGTGAGTGAATGAATAGTGACTTAAAGTTCATGTGACGTGTGAGGAAGATTGATTGATATTATTTAATTATATTGATAATATTAAAGAAAGTTGGATTTAATTAGGTTTGAATTTCGAGTTAAAAAATTATTGGATATTTTGTATCCAATCCGGCCCTTAAGAATCTATTTTCTTTTTATAAGGGCTAAAATCACTTATTTTGGCTTTTTACCCATATTCTAGGGTGGATCTCGAAAGAAATGAAAGATCTCCCTCCAAAGCACACAGACGACTTTCATCGACTACGGCTTTCCGCAGAATTCTATCTGTATCTATGAGCATTGTATTTTCTTGGGTCGAAATTGAATATTTTTGTGCCTATTTACTATAAGATATTTGATGGCCTTGCTGTGTCACATAACCAGCATGATTGCATTTAAAGACCGCTCACAAGCAGAAATATACTTTGTTTGAATAAAAGGGATACAGAGTTAAAAATCATACGATTTATTAAAAGTCGCAACACATCCAAGGGGAAGACCTATTAGTATCAATCAAACAGCAAACATAGACAAATTACCTGAAACTGAACCAGTTAACCCGCATACAAGATAGAGAATATCAAGTTCCTTGCGAATGCCATCTACACTAAACTGTGCTTGATGCTTCGAACCACTTCTCTGTTCAGTCCTGTAGTGAGTATACGATGAACTTTTTAAGGCCACAAAGCAATAAATCACTCAATAATAAGCACATAATGAAGCATGGCGATAAAATTCCAAAAGGGCTCTCAAAAGTTTTTTTCTTGGCAAAATTGCATATTAATACACCACCTTTCATGTTTTTGCAATTTAATCACCACCTTTACTATTTTTTGCAAATCGATACATGAATGACGGTTCCGTTAACGAAATCTAACGGAAATCTGACATGGCATTGACGTGGCTCAATGCCATGTCAGATTTTCGTTAACGGAACCGTCATTCATGTATCGATTTGCAAACAATAGTAAAGGTGATGATTAATTTGCAAAATTGTAAAAGTGGTGATTAAATTGCAAAAACATGAAAGGTGGTGTATTAATATGCAATTTTGCCTTTTTTCTTTTAGTATTCATAAAAATACAGCCCTTATTAGTATAATACTTTTGTTTTACGAAAATAACATCCTAGGGATGTGATAGAAAATAAATATTAATCTTGTTGAAAGATCAATCGCTTTATAAATTCTAAACCAATAGGAAATAACCAATTTTAGTTTTTTCTTTTCTTTTTTTGGTCTAGATGTCATATTGAACATGTTACTTGGCCGACTTTAAAAAGAGGCAAACCTCGTCATCCGATTGCAAAAAGGATATCAATAGCCAACATAGACTGCTGCATTTACAATGTAGCAATCATCGTTTTTATCTCCCATTTCCTCAACATGCACACCACTCGAGCATATCAGCCCGCCATCCACAACCTCAACGTTGGATATAGCTCCACTAAATATAATACACAAAAAGAAAAGGATAAAATGAAAATCCGATAAAAATCATTCAGTAATGCACAAAACATAGTGATNATCTGCAAAAAAAAAAAAATAAATAAATAAATAAAAATTGCAGGTCAGGTAATGAAGTAGGACTACTTACTAAGGGAAAACTGACTTGACCTTCTCAACATCCAACAAATGTTGGAGAGGCCGAGGAACGCCTAGTTTAATCTGCAATTTCATCTCACCAAATGAAACACCGGGTATGGAACCTGAATTCATACTAATCGAAAGCCAATTAGGCTGTGAAAACTTAGCTGATAAGCTAGCTTATAACTTTTAAGTGAATTTCGAGCTTATAGCTAATAGACTATGAAAAACTAGTTATTTTGATTGTTTTAGTTGATAAGCTACCTGAAATAAAATTTTCAATGGGCAAATTTTCAATGGGCTTTTTAGAAAAAGTTGTTCATACCAAATGAAACTTATTTGAATACAGGAAGCTTATCAGCTAATCAAATAAGCTTAGTTTATATGCTTACCAAACACGAACGACAATAAAAGAGAAAAAAAAAAAAAAAGGGGATTCTGTGAGTACAAGGAGACATTCAACACCGAGGTAAGGCACATGAGCATAATGTAGTTAGAAAGAAGTCTACAACAAACTGTACGCGTTAAAGTTAACCAAGTTCAGTATTTTTCGAGTAAATTGGTGAAACTAAATATACATTATCTCTACTTAACAATCACTTTGCCCAATTAAGAATTCAAATAAAACCGGAACATTGAAACCAACCCAAGCAATTGCAAGCAAATGATACTCACTGGATGACAGGCCAGCTTTCAGAACACCCAATTTTAATTCCTTTTATGAAAAATCAAACCTCTATAGATGAAAAGAAAAAGTCTCTTCTAATCAAGAGAGAAAATTGAATACCGATCTAATCCTTCAGTCCTCAGCCTACAAAAGTCGGAATTATTATTTTTATTTTTCACCCAATAAGTCAACAAAACTAAAATCTAACCTCTCCGAAAAGCTGGAATTGAGTTCGAGGAAATTGCATCCCTGCAAGCCCGCATTGCTGCTGACGTAATATCCTGCCTGTTCATCAATTCCAAATCAACCAAAAGGAACAAACATCACCCAACACACAAGTCCACACACACACAGAGAGCGAGAGAGGGAGGGAGAGAAAGAAACCCATGTTGATCATAGCCGACGCCCATTTCAACAAACAGGAGCTTGATAGAAGAGTCGGGCACGGAGCTAACCGCTTTGACTGAAGCTTCTTCACTCGCCATGGGAGCTGCAGATACTGCTGTGAAATGGCGCGAATTGTTGCCTCGTATGATTTTTGTGCGGGATGAAAAAGAAATAGTATTAATGAAATTGAAGGATCGGAAATCAGAGGGAGATGGGAGAGGAGGAATTTGGGGCTTCGAGAAGGTTCCCAAACTAGAAAGAGCCGCCATTTTTCCGATTGAAATCGGGTTATGGCTTTGGGCAGTTGGGCTCAAGCTCGAATTCTCCAGAGACTGTAATTTATCACTCTTTGTTTGAAATGACTGGGTTATATGAGCTTTTGTTGTTCTTGGTGGGCCTTTTTCTCATTCTTTGCCCAACTGTACTTGAACTGTTATCTTATATGGGCTCGTTCATATTGCTAGACTTGGCAAGACAATTTTCTCACTTTCCTAAAACTTTTACTGTTTAGTTAATACTCTCTCTTTTTTTTAATAAATGTAAAAAATTACACAATTTTTAAGAATATTCTTTGAGAGATTGGTCAAGGTACCACAACTTCTGCTTGAAGATGAAAGAAAGAGTGGATTTGATCTTCAGTCTCTACCGAAGAGTTTTGACAATTCTGCTTGAACTGCAACATTAATAAAGGAAGTAATTAATTATTGTATTCATAATCCATTTCATGTTTCCTTCCATATTCCGTATTCATATACATAACAATGTGTTATTCATATATGCATCATTCATGTAATGAAGAAAAACAGGAGATTTGATCATCTTGAAAGAACTGCATTCGACAGCTCCTTTTTACTATTTCACAAAATTATATACTTTCCACAACAGTCCTTTTTACTATTTCACAAAATTATATACTTCCACAACAGCATACCCTCTAGCAACTGTCTAATGGATAGTTACACACTTTCAGCTTGATCTCAACATCAATTTTCTCCAAGAAAACTGCCCAACCAAAGTACTCTAGCATTCAAAACAACTCACTGTCACAACTCACAAGTTTACTCTACCAATTTGTTTGAATTAACTTATATATAAATTATACCAAACAAAACAAATGCCTCCCCATTTCACTATTCACACATCATCATTTAATTTAAGTTCCAATTTCCTCACAACCAAAAAAAAAAAAAATGCAGGTAGCATTTCTGAAAGCCAGAGTTTGCTACAGACTAGCAGCAGATGATTTGCAAACTACAAACTTGTGCTGATGCTGATTTGTTAACTGCGCATTGCACGAACGAGCTTTATCCCTCAGCTCTTGAAATGCTCTCATTGTCTCAACATCAAAACCGCCTGCAAACTGGCGAACAAAAAGAGAAACAAAACTTTCATAACCTTCCATGCAAGAAAACAAATGATGATAAGCTTTTCTTTTCTTTTTTTTTTTTTAAAATCTTTTTAACCTGATGTACTCTGAAGGCAAATTTTACGCCTTGGACAATAAGCTCTTCTTCTTCAGGACCACCACCGACCATTTCAAGCTCAGCCGAGACTCTCTTCATGTACTTCATGGCCAATGTCACGGATGCCAGCTTGATCTGTTCAGAAGAAAGTGGTCACACATTTTATCATTATACACAAGTACTTCCTGTTATTTCCCTATCAAAAATTTAATGCAAGTAAATTCAACCCAACTACATTAAACAAATGAAAATTTAAAAAAAATAAATATATATTTACCCTTCTTGGCTATTGGTAATTTTGAAAATGCAGTTTGTTTCTGTATTAGCATACTAAAAAAGGTTATATATAATTTTATAATTAAAAGTACCCGACAGAACTAATGAAACTAGCGCATAGTATTATCCATAAATAATTCAAATCTAACACAGTGTAGTCATGAGATCCTCTGTTCAGGAAAGGACGAGCAGCATTGACTTAAAACAAATGCCGAGGTCAACTTGGAGAATTTTGATTATAAATTGACTATAGCAAGGCAAGAACACATAAAATATGCACACACTCACCAGTCACCACAGACAAATTTTAATGAAACATAGAGATTTGAGATATGCACATGTTTGCATGTAGTGGCTGGAGGGAATAATACAAAATGAGGTAAAGTACTTATAACACTTTTGTTGTCTGCCAAACTTTAATTTTAAGTTTGGGCATGCTAACCCATAAGTTTTCCAGTTGTATAAATGAGACCCCTTTGAGGGACCACAAAAGAAGGCTATCTATACAAAAATTACTAATTAATAAAAATTGTCATTGCTAGTGATGCATCAGGAGGAAATGAAAAAAAAAAAGTTAGGAAAAAAACAAAGGAATTTCTAGAGGACACAGTTAGGTTATGTAATAAATAATCAATACCCACACTATTTAGCTGAGATTGGTGGATAATAAAGAACAGAAAATTTAGCTGAGACTCATTTGTTCATTTAAGATTTGTCACATTGACAAGGGAACCGTGAAAAGAAAAAAAAACAAAAACAATAAAAAAAAAGAATAACAAATATTACCATTCATTTTATCTCACCTTTTCTCCACGATGCTGCTAATACAATTAACAAAAATAAACAAAAATAAATAAAAGTAATCATTATTTTATATTTTGCTACAAAAAATACTATTCACTCACTCACATATTTCTAACTACCAATCACTATTAATCTTAATCTTATTATATTTATATAACATCCACTTTAATCATTATATATTATCTTATATTCATTCACAATCTGAAATCTATCTTAAATTTTCTAAATTTGTTTCACTTTTCTTTCATTTTTCGGATAAACAAAAAATTTCGAAAAAATCGAATATCCGATCCGCAGATGGTTCGATGTCTATTTTTTCAGTTAAAGGTCAGATACAACCCATATGCTCGGAGTTGTTGATTATTTGAAATATCACCAAATAAAAGTTTAACTATCAACATTGTAAAAAGGTAAACAAGAATAAAACCAGTATCAGTCACCATTAACAGACAATATTAGAAAAGATTGCCATACATATCATGCATGTCAATATGTTAAGGTTATTTCTTCACCACTCTTCAAACAATCCAAAACGTTGGATCAATATGGAGTCCACATATGTATCATAGTAACTTGATAGTTAGAATTCCCCATTCTCACAAAACTTACAATGGCTACTATTTATGTACCCAATTGATCTCAGAGTTAAAACTTAGCAATTCCCCCAAACAGTAATTAGTTTAAAACTTAATAGCATGTAAATTCCAGCTAAATGACAAAAAAATCAGATTAAAATGGTGAAGGGCCTCAAAAGAACCTAGTAAACATTTACCTGGCTTACATAACCCGTATCCAACATCCAATTCACGGGAATATGGAAGCTTTTGTATTTCTCTGCAGCTGATTCTCTCACTCTTGACAGGTTATACACTCCATGCTCCAATCTGCCAAGTATTATCAACATTTTATTTTATTTTTCTTTTTCTAAAGCAAAGTCATGATTGACATGTGTGATGGTAAAGAATGTGTGATAAAAGGTCTTACTTCTCAAACAAAGACTGTATTTTCTTGAGGACATGACTGCAAGGTTGTCTTCTGTCATCTCGAAAGGACGATACTTCAGCTTCCAGCTTCTTTAGATCACGGTACCCAAATGCAGCTTCTCTTAATGCATCCGCCTTCTTTTCCGGCCAATCGAAATGCTTCAAAACTGCCCTTTCATCAACCTTCACAAATAAAAACACGAACAAGTATTAACTAAAACGACTATTAACTAACAAAGACTTGAAAAAAAAATGTTATGAAAATAGGGGGAGAAAATGGAAGAGGCAATAATAAATATTACCAGGTAAGACAGCTCATCATCAAGCCATTTCACAAAAGGAACAACATCCTCAATATCTGTGAATATTGCACCCTCAACTTCTTTAATCAAGAACCTAATGAAATCCCCTTGAGTCTCCACGTCTGTTTTAATCTGTATTTAAAATAAATTATATTAAAATTAAACATTGATTGTGAACTGTGATAAATTATTGACCTATATGGCTATGTATGCTAATTGCTAAATCCAAACAAAGGGGCAATGGGAATTGAAAAGCATAAACCAAAGATAAGCTGCCCAAAAACAGTGAATTGTCATGAAGCCCACGTGGTTACATTAAAACTTTCGACTTTCTGCACAACCAATATGGATTTCGAATCAAAAACCTGTCTTATCTCGTAAGGTTACTGGCAAAGTTCCAATAGGAAAAAGGCAAAGGGTACCATAGAAGACACTGGGGACCAGTCACAGTCCCTAAACAGAGCCAATGGCAAAAGCAGTAAATAACATCAACAACCGTGGCCAATTCAAGAAAAGCTTACAGCTAGTAAATGTGCAGAGCGGTTCTCGATTTCCCCTATCATGTCCTTGGCCGTCGAACCCGCCGCCTGCGAGTCGGCCGGGCCACCGCCAGCATCCCGCCGGTAATTCGAATCCCTCTTCATCAGCGAGTGATAAAACTCCACCACCTCCGGCACTCTCCTTACTTTCGATGGCATGGGCTTCAGCCCCTTGAGCGGAGCCGGCGGCGGTGGGGGCGGAGCAGGAGGCGCGGCAATTTTCGACGGACGAGGAGGAGGGGGCGGGGGCGGAGGGGGAGCGGTGAGTTTCGCCGCAGACGCCGGCGGTGGTGGCGGAGGTGGTGGCGGATGAAAGCCGGACATCTCGATCAACGCACGGTACGCCGATTCGGATAGAGAACCGTACGAAGGTGATGAGACAGAGGACGACAGGCACTTGGGAGAGGATGAAGTAATTGACGACAAGAGGGACGCCGACGGCCGTGGCGGCGGTTTAGGCACGCGTGGAGCACGGGATCTTGTTCCGAGTAACCCATCGGAAGCTTCTGGAAAATCCTCTTCCCTTTTCACCTCCGTTTCGCTCTTCAGATTCGCAATCGTCGTGTTCTCCAGAAACGCGGCCGCAGCGCCGTTAATCTGAGTCGCGCATTTTCTCAAACACCTAGTGGAAAAACTAGATTTGTTGTTACTGGTCAAATCATGGAGTTTCGCGGTAGGCGAGGAGGACGAAGACGACGATGCCTCTTCACTCTCTCTTTCTCTCTCCTCCGCCATTCTCTTGATCTCCAGTAGCTCGGCCTGCATGTCTCGGATTTTCTCTTCATACTTGTGGTTCTGTTTCGACAATTCGACGTGCAGAAACTCGTTCTCCTGCCTCAGCCTCTCGTTCTCCTCTTCCAGGCACTCGATCTTCTTCCTCGACCGCTCGATCTCCGAGTCCTTGCCGGAGATCACTTCCTCCAGGACGGGAACAATGGCGACGGACTCCCTGAGAAGCTTCTGCTCGAGCAGTTCCGTTTTCAGCCGCGACTCGCTGTCCCGCAGCTCCTCGACCAGGCGGAGGAGCTCGGAGACGTCGGGCGGGCGGGGCTGGACCTGGGCGGAGGCGCGTGGGAAGTAGACGCCGAAGGAGCGGGAGATGGCGGCGCCGGATCCCTTCTGCTGCTGCTGCTGCTGCTGCTGCTGGTGGTGCTTGGCTGAGCTCGGCTTGGTGGCTGCGTCAGGGGCCTTGGGTTTGTTTTTGGTGGGCGGAGTTTTTTGCAGACCCATTACGGATTTCACTTTGCCGGCGACCATTGTTGGGGTTCTCTTGAAATTGGGGGCTCTTAAATCGGAGAAAGAGGCACAATCTCTTTCTCCCAACGCTATCGGCAGTGTTGGAGATGGTGTAGTCTACATAGGTCACTGTCTATTGTTGGGTTGTAACTTGTAACAGTGTTGTGTGGTATTACAAGGGTTTTTGTTTTCACGCATTAAATTACCACTGTTAAAAAAGAGAGAGAAGAATTTAAGAAAAAAAAAGGGCGAGAGAGACGAAAAGAAAAACTAGATAAAATAAAGTAGAGTTAACGGTCTTCTATTTTAAAAAGACTCTTATAACACCGTGATTAGTTAAAAAATTATCCCGAAATTTAAAAAGAAAAATATAAAAGAGAAGATTTTATTTAAATTTTAAATAGTTTTTGATTGTCCATTGTAAATGGAGTTGGAAGAGTTATTGTTGATAATTCTCCTGGTATAGTGCTAATAATGGACGGACTAGATCAAAATAGCTCAATTAAATTCTAGTGTTTCTATTAGTGAAGTTTCTAGAAAAAAAATATATCAAACGGCGCAATCCACCTTGGGTCGTTATGGAAACAACCTTCTTGTATAATTACAAGGTTAAAGTCTACGTACAACTGACCCCCAGACCCCAGCCTGTTGGGAATATACTGGGTATGTTGTTGTTTAAATAGTTTTTGAAAATTTGTATTATTACTATTTTTATTTATATTTAAAATGAGTCTTTCTATTTATACGATTTATCCAACTTATACTGTAACAGTTTTTCTAATTCATATGTAATGAATTTATAAACCTTTTTCATATATGATGAATTTTTAGATATTTTTTTTTTAATATATGTATAGTTTTTATAATTTTTAATCAGTATTAATAGATGATTTAATTCTATAATAAATTTTTTTATTTATTTTATACATGCAATATAAATATCAAATCGAAATTCATCACAATACGTTTCATTCTATACGTTATATATAATAAATTGATAACAAATACAAACGTTATTAACTTTTAAATTATTTATAATTAAAGTTAGTCCAATATTTTATAATTTATAAGTACTACTAGTTATGGACAGAATCGTAATTTACATGGACACTCCGAAGCACAATAAATTGACACATAAGATTACGAAGTACCATAAGAGCATGTACAATTCTTTGGGTCTAGTTTTGCTTACATGGCATGTAATTGGACTTAAGTTTTAGATGACATGTACAAAAATATAGAAAAGTAATGAAATTAACTCCTATGCAAAGAGACTAGGTCTCTACTTGAGTCTAGAATAGACTCAAGGGTAGACTGTGTCTCATTTTCTTGTTGCCACATCAGCAGGACTCAGTCCAATTGTATTTGCATTGGAGTATATATTTTTCTAGACTATGTCTATTTCCTACGTGGTGCGTATAATTTTTTGAAAGAACCCAAAGCATTGTGGATGCTCTAAGTAGACACATGGGAGGATGACGGTCTTGTGTTGAATAACCCTAATCATTGGGGTGAGCATGGGTCAGTACTGTTCAGAGATTGAAAAATCTCTGGAACCGTACTAAAATTCGGAGATCAGTAAATTCGATCTCAGAACCGTACCAATAATTTGGAACGGTTCGGTTCAGAGATTTTTATTTTTCGATTCGGTTCGGTTCCGTGTGGTTCGGTTCGGATCTTCGAAAATTTCATCTTTTTAAAATTTGTTTTTGAAATAAACTTTATAAGTAACTCTAAATTTTAGTTATTTAATTTTTATATGCTTTAGAAAGACCATCATTCATCAATATTTTCTCATATTTAAGATTTTATTTTGAAATCAACTTTAAAAGTAATTCTAAATTTTAGTTAAGACTAAATTTGTGCAACTAATATTGAAAATTTTAAATTTAAACAAAATATAATATAGTGTTTTCTTAATAAAATATTCTTTAACCTTTTATGCCATTTTAAATATTTTTTTTATAACATTAAAAATTCAATTGTAGATCAAGTATTACTAAGCATGAAATTTAAGTGAAGCTTAATTTTTGTTACTATATTTTATTTGCAATTTAAGAATTCTCAAATTATATAGGATCAAAATTGACATAAAATATATTAATAACACATATCTAATGTCATAATTTGGTTCTTAATTTCGATTCTTCGGTTCGGTACGGTATGAGATGGTTCGATTCAGTTCTCGGTACGAATATTTGTGAAATCTCCAGAACCGTACTAATTACTTTTTCGGTTCAGAGAAAGTTAAATGGTCAACAGTTAGTGATTTCAATTTGATCTTCAAAACGGTTCGGAATTCTTCGAGTCTCATGCTCAGCCCTAGGGGCAACATACTTTTTTTATGAAAATGTGTTTACTTTCATAAGAAACCATCATACTTTAAAATATAACATGAACTGAAGTTGGACGTACATTTAATAGTATTAAGTATGTATTTTTTGTCAAACAGCGTGATGGGTCGACCCGCCTAACGACTAGACCGTCTCACTACCAAAAATTTGTGTAAACCTTCTACAAGATAAGTACATATTTTCAATTGTTCACACTCAAATGTCATATTTTAATTATAAATATGCTTTTTTCACAATCAAATACATTTCGATTGCATCAAAAGTCATTTTAAATAACAATATGACCAAAAGTATAACACTTATGAGATAATTATGCATTTAAAATAAATATAATTGTTTAATGGTCAAAAGAATGAAGATATCCTCATAAAGAGAGGAACGAAGTCACTCGACTAAGAAGTGGATTAAAGGGCGAACATACAGTTTCATTTGAGCTAAAGCAAGTCATAGTGAGGCTATATACTTTTCAATCAAAATGTCATACTCCGAAAAATACCATAATTAAAAGTATCATATTTATAACATAAATATCTAATTTTCTTAAAACGTATCATATTTTATAATATAAATATCTAATTTTCTTAAGTAAATATGACAGTTCCACTCGTCTAACAGTTACATCTTAAGCTCACACAATTACATCTAAAACATTACATAAAACTTTTATGTCACCTCGTAACTTTCAATAACTCAAATGTATATGTGTCCACCTCCACTGAAAATTGTATTGTAAAATAGTATAAAAGCTAAATGAATCATCAATCTCATAATATTTTCGAAAGGTATTCGCATCTTGTTACGAAATATTATACTTTTATTATGTTATTTTTGTAAATTATGATATTTTACATCTATATATACAGGGACGAAACCATGTGTATGGTTGGGATGGCGCCGGCCCCCAAAAAAAAAAAATAAAAATTCAAACTAGGGGTGAGGGATTTTGCTGGAACTGGAAGATTTTCCTTTGAGCGCGCATATTGGGCCCTCCTCGATTTCATGCGGTGCATACATGGCCGGAGGGGCGCCACCGATTTTGTCGCGAAAATTTTGTTCACGTCGAACTGAAGGAATCTGGCTGGACAAGAAGAACTATAACAACAGCAGAATTTAATATTTTTTTTTATTTTTATTATATTTTGAGTTGGTTAATTAGCCGACTTGCGGTGTACCGACAGGACTAAAAAACCGAGTCGATCATTACCGAAAAATACTTTTATGAAAGTATGGGAAGCGGAGAGTGCGTTGGTGGCATCGATTTATGATTTTGAGCTCCCGACCATTTATTTTGAGTAGCCCGAAGTTGAGAGAAAAATGGCAGTGGCGGTGATTTTATTGTCATTTTCATGTCTAGACTTCGGGTAACCGTCAACCCTCGTTAGGCGTGCTGAAAATTAGCGGGAGTGCTTCCTTGAAAGCACGAGAAGAGTAGAAATCGTTCGTAAAATTTATTTCACATTTCGAAGTTTCGAGCATTTATTTTGAGAAGCTCGAAGTCGAGTGCGCATAATAGAAGAATAAAAAGCCGTTTTGCGGGGTTCCGTAAGGTTGCGTATGATCTCGGTTTAACGAGAATCGAGTTGGAGCGTGTAGACAATTCAAGCACGATTCTATACGGACAAATTTCGCATTTTTCGAAGTTCCGAGCATTTAATTATGGGAGTTTGAATTTCTGCGTTAAATAGTATCAAAATGAGCAAATTGGGGTGGTACGCCGCGGGATGGCTGGAGTGGGGGTGGTGCGCCGCGGCAAAATGGCCCTCCCCGGTATGACTGGCTGGTTTCGCCACAGTTAAATATATATGATATATGTTACAAATATACAACTTATTTATTAGGGTAATTAGTCTAATTTCTTATTCTGCAGTTGCTAGATCATTCGTCACGTATAGCATAGGTAAAACAAATTTCTTTGACAAAAATTAATATGAACCGTTTTACATCACCTACATTCGATATTTACATTGTTCGAGTAAATTCCCTTTATTCCAATTGCAAAGAATTGTGCATTTTAAAATAATATAAAATAATTGTTTCAAAACACATAATACGACAGATAGCCAATGCACAAGGTAGTGTAAATAACGTTTTTATTCAGCACACTTATGGCTAGACAATCATATTTTTCTAAATATAACATTTTATAGTGTAAATATACATTTTTATTAAGAAAGATATTACCTCATAATAGTTTAAACCGCCCACACAAAAACTTATTTCAAATTTAAATTTTTTTTACGAATTTAATAATTCATCAACATACTAAAAGTATCTCCAATGGAATGTGAATTGGAGAATTGTAGAAGGCGTTGAGATAAAAAATTTCTCCAGTGGTGTGTTTTTATTTTTATTTTTGATGAGGTGGCATGAAAGAGACTCAAAAAATCTAGAAGCCTTTCTAGACATGAGTCATATCTTTTCTTCCTATTTACTTTTTTATTTTATAATTAAAATGTATAATTAGGTATAGAAAAAACGTATTTGCCGAAATACCAAAAGGAAAAATACCAAATGAATACATGAATATAAGGGCGTTGGCTGAGTACAAGAGTAATTTATAATATTTTGTCAAAGTTTTTTCGGTCATTCAAGTTTTTTGCTGGTTCAAAGTTTGTTAATTTGTTGCCATTTTGTTAGAACAACAAAAACAAAAAGGTAACATTTACTACCGTATATAAAAATATTGTGATTTCTGGTTCAAAGATTGTTCGACAATTTCTCTGCAAGTTTTTTTGGCAAAGCCAA